CCGTCCTGTGTTGTCGCATTCTGAAAGAGAGTACTATCTTCTCCCACCAGCCCCTCGTGGGAGCCGCAAGGCAAGTCAGGGTGGAGTCCCTGTGCTGCATGGGTATGCCCTGGGGCTGTATGATGTTCCCTGGAGATGATGTGTGGTACAAGTGTGTACACTTCAGACTAAGATCTCACATGGAATGGTATGATCCTAAATCCCACGAGGGGATTCCTGGATTAAGTTTGTCTTTTGGAAGTCATAAGATCAACATAAGTTACTCCTTTGGTTTTTTTGTTTTGTTTTTTAAGAAACTGATGCTTGCTTCTTGAATCAGATAGCATCTCTCCACTTGCATATCAGAAAGAAAGTATGGCGTCTGTTAGAAATAAAGGCCAGACTGTAGCACACGGTTTGCCATTCCAAACGGTGTTCCGAGGGGTTGAGATAAATAATTATACCAAGTAAAGAAAGTCCTGGCGGAGCTAGATTTTCAGGATCTGTTAGGAAAGTATAAAATTGAAGGCAGGTTCTTTTCAGTTGTGTGGAAAGTTATTTGGAGATTGTATATTAATATCATACATGGCAAAAAAAAAGTCCCTTTTACAGTTACGGAAAGGTTTAGATCTGAATCATACAGCACACAGTGGGACTCATATGACAAATATTCTTATTGCCACACATGGCAACCATCATAGCCTAGGTGACAGCGCAGTAGGCGTTATGGAAAAGTCTGGACACTGAAAGTTAGCAGAACTGGGTTGGCCTTCTCCTCAGCTGAACAGGTGGCCTTGGACAAGATGTGATCCTGCCTCGGTTTCTATGAAATGAAAGGTACACTGCTTTCCTACAGACGTTGTGGACAGAATGACAGTGTGTGCCAGGCTTGCCAGGCTTGCCAGGCTTGCAGTAAGTGGTCATTTAGCTCATAAATGGGTCGATAAATGACCAACCAATCTTCCCCCACCCCAGACCTTCTCCAACTTCAGTGTGACCATCACCTGGGCCACTTTTCTAAAGGCCGATTTTCAGATCCCTTCTCCAGAAATTCCAATTCTGTAGAATAAAAAAAAAAAGAAGTCTGGGAATCTACATATAAAACCAATTCCAAAGTGTTTATGCTACTAGTTCATAGACCATAGACCATACTTTGAGAAACACTGCCCTATAATCTCAGAGAACTAAAACAAAGAAAAAAGATTTCTATCACCAATAGGCTACAAAACTTTGATGGTAAGCAAGAGACCCAAATAATAAGTGATTTTATTTCCAAGGTGCTGCGGGTAGTTTTTACCTAATGGAACTAAGATTTCCTATGCAACGTCCTATCGTTTAGCCCTTGTGATGGATGACTGTCCTTGAGCCGCTATAGCGATCTGTCCCTTTTCTAGACTTTGGTACATCTCTCCCATTCAACACACTGACAGACATTGCATCTTTAATCTTGTGTTATTGCACATTTGATTTGTGCCTCATTTCCCATAACTGAACTAAGTATCTTTTATTGTTTTATCCTCCTCAAGCAACAACAGAATCCTTTGCAGTGATAAGTATTTCAAATACATACTTTAGTAAATATAGATATTTGGGGACTGGGGAGATGATTTAATGGTTAAGCTGCTCTTCCAGAGGACTCGGGTTCAATTCTCAGCACCCACATGGCAGCTCACAATTGTCTGTAACTGCAGTTCCAGGGGATCTGAGATTCTCACAAAAATGCATATAAAATAAAATTAAATTAAAAATTCAGAATAGATATACATATTGAACTATTGACCATTGGTCATTGGCAGATCCTTTGCATGAAAGTGGCTCAGATGCAGTCATGACGGCTTGAGGTCTAGGCTTTGGAAAAGGTGAGTAAGGGCTGTGGCTCCCCAAGCTGCTTCCTCCCATAGAACAGGGCGAGTTCTCACCTCCCAGGGCTATAGGGAGGATTAAATAAGAAAATGTTTCTAGCGTTTCTAGCAAAATGCCTAACATTGTGGTTACGTTTGTAACAGATACAGGCTCTTGCTGTTACATCTGAATAAACCACACAGAGTACATAGAGCTGTTTTCAACATCCTCTTTATGATGCAAAGACACTAACTGGTTATTTCTGAGCAAAACTTGTATTTGATCTCTCTCTCTCTCTCTCTCTCTCTCTCTCTCTCTCTGTGTGTGTGTGTGTGTGTGTGTGTGTGCACTGAAGCGTGCATGTATGGCACATTATGTGAGGGTCAGAAGGTTTGCATAAGATGGTTCTCTCTCTCCACCATGTGAGTTCTGGGAATTGAACTCAGGTCATTAGACTTGGCAACAAGTGTCCTTACCCATGGAGCCATCTTGCTCATTCAGCTTGCATAGTTCAGGTTACTGACGTAAGCCATGAGACCAGCGCAGGCGTTTCCCAGGCACTGATTACTGGAGTCTTTGCCTTGCTTTTTGAAGCAGGGTCTCTCACTGAACCTGGAGCTCCAGGGTGTGTCAAGGCTGCAGCTTGGCTAGCAAGCTGCAGGGATCCTCCTATCTGGGATCTCAGGGCTATCGTGCAAGCAATGAGATTGCCTAGTCCTTTGGAATATAGTGGGTTAACTACAAGAGGGTCTGTGTCATGGAGAAGAGAAAATTATATAATATACATAAACTATAGTTTCTGTATACATATAGGAATTTCAGCTAAAAGCAAGAAGCTGAGACATTTCCCAGTGTCTAAGAATAAACTGGTTAGTGGCTAAAGCATGAGAGATTTATTTGATAGGCTGTAGAGGAATTGTTCTAAATGATTACAGAGACCTAGAGAATACGACTAAGTAATAACGTTAAATAATGTGAGAAATGCAATAACATGTGAAAGGCTCTGGGCACATTTTAAGAAAACTAGAAAAAAAAAACGGTAAAATTTAGCTTTCAGCAATTGTGGAGTGATGTAGAACCTTCCCAGCACTCTCTGCCTCTTACAAAAGCCAATAAGAACCACAGGCTTAGGTGGTGGGATTGTGACATCACCAACCCTCCAGCCAATCTCTTTGATGATTATTTGCATAGTTTACTACTCCTACTCCGAAAGAAGTTGTTTTCCTGACAGCACGGAGTGAAAGTGTTAACCTCCAACAGAAAAGGAAGAAGAAAACTACAGTAACAAAGACATATTTGTAATGACATTGATATCAAAATACAGTGATCAAAATAATAACTAGTCCTGAGAGTACTTTTCCCTTCTAAGTGTTCCAGTCTACTTGGTATGCTGAATCTTAAAATAGCTCCCCAGCAACTCGACAGCTCCTTATTCAGTCCATGTTTAAATGTTGTTTTAAAACAGATTCCTAAGGAAGTGGAGGCCAAGTTCAAAGTATCCTTGGCTACAGTAGTGAGTTAGAGGCTAGCCTCAACTCATGAGACTCCACCAAACAACAAAAGCAAAAACAAAAAACTCAAAGGTTTAAAACAAACTCCTAACTCCTAATAGTAAAAATAATAATAATAACAATAATACTAGCAATTTTCTGGGGTGCTCTAGAAGTCTCTCACTGTTAAGAAAAAGAGAAACCCATTTCTCAGACCTGTTTCTATAGAAAGAAGAAGTGTTCACCCCCTCTAGTCTTACCTGCCCATCTTTGCACTTTACCCTCTGTAGGAAAAAGCATCAGTTCACCAAACTGACCTGGGTGCTGACAAGGGCACAGGATTCTGGGACACTCCTCTTTATTTGTGTATGTATTCACCAGGTTAGCAAATGTCATACCAGCGAGGGCTGACTTTGTTTATTATTCTAATTGAAATTTCTATTCAAAGAGAATGTTTAGTAGGTCAATACTGTTGTTCTCATACAACCTAGGGGCATGGATCCATCACTAGCTTCATTCAGGTGTACTGACATCAGCCATGTGTTCCGCACAGGCATTTTGTAGGCCTTGTCCACTTGGCTCTTCACAACAGCAATGTCAGTACACGTATCACAACTGAGAAGAACATGGGTTAAAGAGGTTCATTGATTTGGTTGCCCCAAACAAAACCAGAATTCTCACATAAAATTTCTGACATAAAGCTAGCATTCTTCTCACTACATCATATTTAGTTATAATAGAGGCATCAAAACAGAATGGAAAATTCTACTCCTATATGCCAAACATAGCCTCTTGCTTTGTGAGTCTGCAAATGTTTGTCATATCTTAAATATAAACATATAGTTTGTGCTTGTATTTTCTCAAAGCCACTGAGAACAGTTCGAGAACAGATCGATTCAGTACTTTAAGCAGAATTTCTATCAGCCAAAGTACTTTCGAGTTGTATATATCTCAAGTACTTATTTGTTTACTATGGCCAATAGAACTCTACCACTGACTTCAAGCCAGCAGTTGTGGGTTATCCAGGTCTCTCCAACAATATCACTCCCAAACGTCCTTCGAAGGTAGCATATTTGTTATGGGGTGTCCCTTTGTGAAATTCAGAAATGGCTGGGGCAGATCTGAATTTTATGGAACCATCTGGAAACTGGATGACATCTGTGATAGAAGTCAGGGCCTCTACAGGCGGTGTCTAAATGCCTTATACGTATTTCTCAATGTATGCTCTAAAAGGTAGAGAGCCATCACCCCACTTTCCAAATAACTAGGAAACTTGGGCATGGCTTAGCGATGGAGATGTAGTTTAGTGGTAGAGTATAAACTTGGTGTTTGTGAGTCTCTGGGTTTGGTTCCCAATAGCACACCCTCAAAAGAAGGAAAACAAGGTGGATTTTAGGAAAAACACCAAAGACTTCTCGGTGATGTGTTTCACACCTTGAACATCATGTGTAAGTATATGATAATACAAAAATCAAATGAGCCAGATGCCTGTGGTCTCAGTCCTTGGGAGGCTGAACCAGGAGGATCACAATTTAGAGGCTAGCCTGAGCTGTATATGGTGAGGTGCTGCCTCAAACAAACAACCAAGCTTAAGGTGAACATTTGGTAATTAAATGAGGTATAAATCAAATTGTATGATGGTTTCTGTTTCCTGAAAGGTCTTTAAGTTTTTGTTATGTATTTATTTGCTTTATTTTTATATGTATGAGTGTTTTGCCTGCATTTATGCCTGTGCACCATGAATGTGCCTGTCTGCCCAGGCAGGCTAGAAGAGGGTGGCCAGAGAAAGTGTTGGATCCCTTGGGACCGGAGTTGCAGACCGCTGTTAGCTGTTATTTGAGTGCAGAGAATGGAACCGGGGTTCTCTGGAGGAGCAGTCAGTGCTGAAACTGCTGAGTCATCTCGCCAGTCCCACTCTTGAAGGATTCCTGAAGAACCCCATCTGCTTTTCTTCATCTCGGAGTCAGTTCGTGATCAAGGGTCAGGGTGGGCTCACTGTGCGCTCCACACTCCTTGCCACCCCTTTCTCTGTCACGAGCTGTGTATTTAAAAGAGAGAAAAGGTGTACGGGGCTTCTGCAGTTCTCCCAGCTCAGGCAGAGAGCAGTCTGCTCCTCTCCTTTATACCTTGTACCAAGGGAATCTGCCCCCTCCCGCTGTCTAGTCCTACCCACGATCTGCTCTGGCACTCGGCCATTCCGCACCATTGAAAATTCGAAAAGCTTATAGCTTTGCATTCCCAAACTGTGCCCGATACTGTGTAGTGGATCTGGGGGGTGTTTTTTTGCATTCCCAGCCCATTCTAAATTCCAATTTTCTAAAAATGGAGCAGCTTAGTTTAGAAAGTGGCTCCCTGACTGTAGTAAATTCTTAACAACTTGGTCTCTTTTAGGATACACATCAAAATAAGGGATTGAAATGGGAAAAAAAGACTTAACAGAGTCAGGAAACTCACAGACTAGTGGGACTGAAGTGAGGCTCGAATGGCCTGGTGAGTGTGAACGAGATTGGTAAACTGTAAAATCCTCCAGAGAAAGCTGTGTGACTCACAGGATCAGCCTTTCCCAGGAGCCCAGGCCGGTGGGTCTCAGATGCTAGCATGCCACAGAATTACTCAAAGGGCTAGTGAAACATAGATCTCTGGGTCCAGAACTTTAAATTTAATAGTGTCCGAGAATTGATATTTCTGTCCAGTTCCGGAGTAACACTGATGCTGTGGGTCCCTGTTTAATTAAGCCTTGACAATTGCTACCTGCTGAATAAGGGCAATCCATCACTGCCCTAGCAGGCATACCGTTTGCAGGGAGAACAGCAATTATTAATACTACTAATAGAATACTGCTACTCCCCATTTCTTGGTAACCCAACATCTGCTCTCATCTTCCAAATCGCTCAGTGCTTGTATAGGGCAAAAAATAGCATTCCTCTTCTATTCTGCAGTATGTATCATTAATACCTACCAGCAACAACCCATCCTTGCTTAAACGTTGCGTTCAGGGAGCAGGGGACCCTCACATGTTATTGTGTACCTAGTTTCTAAACATAAAGCCTAAGTTCTTATGAGATGTGTATTTAAAACAGAGAAAGGGGCAATGTGGCAGAACACACCCTATTCTTTGCTTTTGTGGCTATGAATGTAGGCATAGGTTTGTGACTCAGATCACGTATGCTAGAAGGACCCAGCCTGTCCCTAACTGAAGGGACGGGTATAACATAAGGTGCAAAGTTAGGGGAGTAATGATAAACACCTTACTGTGCCCCCAACAGAGCGAGTAGGCGGGGTGATTGTAAAGGCCTAGCCTGGGAGAGGTCGCTCCAGAGCCGGCCCTCCGCAGAAATCCAACGCAGCCTCATGTCGCCCTCCAGACCCTCCCGGGGGACGCGCGGTGCAACCAAGCCTACAGCGGTGGCCGCGCGCCGCCGCGCAGCCCTCAGGCCTTCCCATTGGCGGGCGGCGCCATCTGCGCTCGCCTCGCCC